AGGAAAGGTAAATAAACAGAATCAATGTTTAAGGCTACTAATAATTCATCTTTAATTTTACTTATAGACCACATTTTTTACAAAGTTTAATATGAAGCGTTTTTGAGCTTTCCTTATCATTAAGAAATTCCAGTTAAATATCCTTATTTAAATTCAGAAAATAATTCAAATAAAATTCCTAATCCGTTGCTAAGATTTTGAATTTAAAAAACAATTAAACTTAGATCACAAACATGAAAAATAGATTTGAACTATTCCGTCATTGTAGTAAATCAAGAACAAATGTTTAGTGTATTGGGGCTATTAAAGGATTAAGCAGATTTATGTGGTATATTTTTTTTTATTTTACGCTCAATGTCCGCACTAATTAATAACGAACTTTTTTATTTTTTTGATAGTAAACTTTAATTCACATTATTATTAATAATCAGTATTCTGTATCTGATTGAAAGCAAAAAAATTTAAATTTATCCTTTTGTAATTTACTATATAAGGGTGTTGCAGAATTTTATTGAACAGAATTTGCAAAATATCTGAGATTTGGTAAGAGGTCTTTTATTTTTGTAATATATCGTACAGTATTATAATAATTTTACTTCTAACTTAACAAATAGAAAGAAGTAACTAAACAGATTAATATATTAAAAATCTATTTATAAAATGTTTAACAGATAGGCCTATGTTTAACTGCAAAAATTAATTACATTGAAATAGAAATTTAGTGTTCTATATAGAAAAGAAAGCGAAATACTGTATTACATTTTGAACATTTACATCTTTAGATATGTTTTGGATATTTCTATTTTTACCCATAAGAAAGATTTTTATTACGAATATTTTTTTTAAAAATGCTACTTTGATACATTAGAACTAATATTAGTAGACATATTAAACATAAAAAATTCATAAAATGCTAATAGGTTTTTTTTAAAATTTAGTTTAATCTAAGCAAAATGAACGGTAAGTGCATTCTTATCTTCATTGTTGCTACATCATTTTTCTTTTCGACAACTGATGCCATGTACTTGAGGCAGAACATCCTTCGACGTTTGATGCGAAATCCACCAATGATACTCCCACTTCCCATACCTTTACCTATACCATATCACCAAGGATCAAACACCGAAGTCGTGACAGTACCGTAATTATTCGACTTTATTATAAAATGTTAATTATGGGAATATTATTAAATACATAAGTTAGTTAATGTAATTTCTTTTAATATTTTAGTGTGCACCATAATCCTGTTTTACATCTACACGGATGGTGGTGAATCTTTTGTATGGAAATTCTTATAGTCAGTTGGCACATAATGTGTATAAAAATGATACTAACAAAATTTATGTTTATAATTGATAAAAATAATAATGTAAATAAATATTGTTGTTAAAGTTTAAAAGTTTTGTTATAAAATTTATTTCATGCAAATTTTAATTGTTAAAAGAGAACTTAAGATTATCTTTAGAATAAAAATACAGAACAGAATTTATATTTTTAACTTCAGAGATACATCATAACCATTTTATATATATGTAAATTGATTTATAATAAGGTTACGAAATATAAATATTATTAACTCCTCTTTAGGCGTATAGAGTATTAAAAGCTCACTTGGCGCATTGTATTTAGAGATCGCAATTGCTGGATCCTTGCAGTTGACTTTCCGCTCTCGATAAATAAAGTGTCTTCGCGGTAAATAAAATAAGTAACTCCTACCCTAGTCCTAGTGCATAATTCTAGTTTACGGTCGGTTGTGGCGTTAATGAATCACGTGACGGAACGATTGCAGTTTAAACTGGCAGTAGAAGCTTTCTGCAGGAATTTGATAACTGCTGACACAACCTGAAATTTGTCGTAGACAAACTAAAAAGCCAGGACACAATCTTGAGTGCCAACCTTTCCGAGGCACTCCACAAAAGAATCAGAGAACGGCGTCTTACCGATGTCCCAGGGAGGCTGATTTACATACAGAATCCGAAGACATATGACCAAAAAGTTAGAAAGCTTTATCTTTCACATGCCGAAAAAAATGTAATGCGTCAGGAGATGAAAATGTGCTGAATCGTGTGAATACATATGTAGTGGAACCAACAGCAATGGCAGAGGATATTACGGAGTGGAAAACGATGATCCAGATAACCCGGATTTTCTGAATTTCACATTGGAACAAGAATTAGAGATCCAACTAAAGCGTGAGAAAGAAAACTTCATGAAACGGAAAGAAACTAGTACTGAGAAGGATTATGATAAGTTATTAAAAAAGGAAATGGCTGTTTATGAAAGTGAGGGAGTCAGAAGTAAAAACTTATCTTTGATTTATCATTATTTGATGACACTGAAACCAACCAGCGTAGAGGCAGAAAAGGCCTTCTCCGCAGCGGGATATATATGCAGTTTATGAAGAAGTAGGTTGGGAGACAACACCATCAATACCATTTGTTTCTTGAGATTTTTAGAAAAGTCAAAAAAATAACAGAAGTGATTGATTTTATTTAATGCTTTAAAATACTTTATTCAAGACAAGACTAATATTTTATAACTTCTACTCTAATTCTATTAAGTAAGAGTTTTTAACTTTTATTCTATAAGTGGTTAGTGGGCTAGGCTAGGCAATTTTATTGTTAAAATTAGTGAGAAACTGAGACTACCTAGTTAGTTAAATAGTTAATTAAATTAATGAGTATCAGTATCTTAGATATATGATGATATGAATGTATGTGATTCATGATTGTGATAATAATAACTAACTACTAGACTACTACTAATTACTTACTCACTACTTTACTAACACTAATAATTAAATTACTTATAAATAACTACAGACTGATATGTAGAGCCTATATAAGAAAACTGGTAAGACTGATAGCCACTTAGCCACTGATTATCCATCCTTACATTATTATAATATAATATATTAATATAAATTAAATAATAGCAAAGGTAATTCTATTATTTAACTTAAAGATTACATTATAATTATAATCTAACTAAACATTTAAAGTTAATTATCTCTATCTCAAGTGTTAAACCGAACCAAAGTTAAGTTTACTACCTAAATGTATAAGAAGTTTTACTGATTTATAGTGACCAGTCTAAATAATAAAAGTTTCTTAAGTATTTAAAAAATAAAAATGTTTTATTTCTTTAAAAAAACCCCATAACTTTCTGGATAGATAGATAGATAGATAACACTTAATTGCACCAAAAACATCCGCTCATCATTCCAGCTGGATCCGCGCTGGATCCGGCTGGAATGATGTTGGTCTAGCAAAAATCCAGCTGGATTAAAAACACTGCTGGATTGCAATCCCTAATTGTATTCGTGGGATACATAAAGCAAATTAATGCAACTTTTATATTTTTACTGATATATAATCTAGACTACAATTATATCTTATATTTCTACATTTTCTCTACTATCTAACAGTATAAAATACTTGTGGGTTTTAAAAAATGAGATTTTTATTTAAATTTTCTCCTGCGAAAGAAATAGACTTCCTGTCTGTGAAGGTCGACAAAACCGATAATCGTTTTATTACTTTGTTTTCATAAACTCCCTTTTTCTGTCAGTTTTGGGTCAAATGACTAACAGATTGTTTTCTGTCACTCAGAGGAATGTTTTCTTTCATATTTGACAACTAGTATTGCTAGTAATGAATTCAATAATATCATTTTTTATTATTTAAAAAATATTTATAAAATTGACAAAAAATGTTTGGGTCACAATTACTAAATGGTATTGCTACGTAATGAATATTAATTTTAATTGTTGCAAAATTGAAAGTATTAAATTTCTTATCCTGCTCTGTTCGCGAGACAGCAAAGAGATAACACCGAAGCGAAAAAATCGCGTTGTCAAAAAAGCTGCAATGACTTATTCGGAATGAATTCGGATTGGTCCTGTCATTGAAATCAGGAGAAAAAGACAAAATGTGTAGCATTAGGTATTTTACATTGTTACTTTTTACAAATTAAAAGACAAAGTCGTTCTAAAAATATATATTTTTCAGACGATTACCATTTTTACAAAGTGTTCTAGATCAAAGTACAGACAGCTGGACCTTCCTTTTTAGGCTACACAACTGCCTATATTTAAAAAGTTCCTTAAAAACACAAAAAACCAATAAAATTTAAGAAAAAATCTTCTTTAAAATTGGAATGGTAAATCTTACGACGTCTTGTTACTTCATTCTTGTCCATTGGGTTTCTGGCTCTTTATCTACTGAAGATTAGCGCTGACAAATGTAAATTACGCCGATATCCCTCTGGTGAAGAATTTTAACGATATATTTGAATTTCCGTCAAATGAATAAATTACTTTTTACAAATTAAAAGACAAAGTCGTTCTAATAATATATATTTTTCAGACGATTACCACTTTTACAAAGTGTTCTAGAACAAAGTACAGACAGCTAAACCTTCCTTTTTAGGCTACACAACTGCCTATATTTAAAAAGTTCCTTAAAAACACAAAAAACCCAATAAAATTTAAGAAAAAAATCTTCTTTAAAATTGGAATGGTAAATCTTATGACGTCTTGTTACTTCATTCTTGTCCATTGGGTTTCTGGCTCTTTATCTACTGAAGATTAGCGCTGACAAATGTAGATTACGCCGATATCCCTCTGGTGACGAATTTTAACGATATATTTGAATTTCCGTCAAATGAATAAACACTTTGTAGAATACTTTGTAAAAAATAGAACACTTTGTAAAAATGGTAATCGTCTGAAAAATATATATTTTTAGAACGACTTTAATTTGTAAAAAGTAATTTATTCATTTGACGGAAATTCAAATCTACATTGTTACTTTATTGAATCGCGATTGTTGCACATAATAATCGCGAGAGTTCAGCGCTTTCACGCTGCGATTGAATTTACCGCAAGTTGTAGTAAGGTATTGTTTTTCGTAAAATTTCTCTGAAAAAAACGGTCATAAACTTGAAAACCATTGTGCGAATCGCTTCAGAACATATCAATTGAAAAATACTACAAAGCCTCAAAGTTCAACTGTTATTTATTTTTGAGAAATTCAATTAAAACACACCATGTATCTGCTGGATACATATTCGCCTAGATAAGAGTTAAAAGTATTTAATGTCCAATCTTTTGCAAAATACCAATTTCCGAAAACCTTTTACAGAAAGCCTTACAAAAAATAATTACATTGATTAATGTGATTATTTTATTAATTAACACATTTAATAGCATTTTTGATATATTATACAAGTTTTTAACAAAAGTATTTTATTCTACAACATAAATAAGAAAACACTTCAATACGGCAATGTATACAGTCTGAAATAATAAAACATCATGATTATTTTATGTTTTATAAAGTATATTTTGTCAAATTATTAAACAATTTATCACTTACGTCATCTTCATTCACAGACAAGAGATCAAAGCAATTTGAATATGTCATTTTCACGTCATCCTAAATAACATAATATATATATTATATATATATAATGTAAATTTTCTAAACAATAATACAGTCGAACGTTTAATAACGGCAGCTATATTTTATGTCCCTGTCAGTAGCCGTTGTTCAAAGGTTTGACTGTATTTATATTCAAAATCAATAACCTTTATTAATTAATAATGTCTTTCAAATTTAAGCTTACTATTTTTTCGTTTGACATGCAAATCACGTTCATAGCATCTGTAAAGGAAGTTTTTCCGAAACACGCAGTAAAATCTTGTAACTAAAGAAACAAAATAATAATAATAATAATTTTTAATATCATTAATATATTTTCTTTTTATTTTTTAAAATATTCGAAATGTTAATGGCGTAATATAATGATTAAATTACAAAAATACCGTTTTCTTGAAAGAATTAGTAACGTTGTTTAGGATACAATTAGAAATATTATTTCTAGCTATTGGAAGAAAACCTGCAATTATATTTTGTATAATTAAAAATTTTCAAAATTTTTCAGTAAAAAGCTTTTTTTTTAATATTTAAAAATTAAATTTGTTTTAATAAGATTTATAAATAAATAATTTATATAACTTACGACAAAATGTATTCACAAACCGATCTTTAACTGTTAAATCTGATCCAAAGGCAATTTTGCAGATAAACAATGCGAAAAAGAATAAAATGTACTTCTTCATGGTGACTAAAAATAGATTTTAAGTATCTATACAATATATCTTATGCATATATCAATATTTAAATAAACTCAATGATTAATTATCTTTAAAAGTTTATGACATTGTCATTAAAAATGAATGCTAAAGATGTACTTAGCTTTTACATAGAAAGACTAATAATTATCTTATTTAACTTTATATGGAAACTTCCGTGTATTCATTACTTAATTAATTTATCTAATTCTCGACATTTAAGTCAATGTTATTGCTATAAAGTCTTAGCAAATAATAAATAATGAAAGCGGTTTTATTGTTCTTTCGAACATAAATTTGTTTATAATTGTAAACTTCAAAATTATTAAATTATTATTTTGATATATATTATTAGTTTAATTTTCGTATATATAATTTACTCTATATTTATTCGTTATGAGATATAGGCCTAACACTACTGTGAACATGTTAAAAACGGACGGTATATATTGTAGATATGACAGATTCGGCTATGGAAAGACCCGGAAGACTCGTTTCTAATTTTTTATACATAGAGATATGTCGGGCCCCGTCCTTTACCTTCCAGTCGCCTTATTGTGGGCCTTGCCGAATCCATGAATAAAGGCACTGTTATATTCCCGAGATAGAAAGCGTTAATGTAGCGCTTACAAATATTGCACTTAAGGAGAAAGTTATAGAAAGTACTAATTATTAGACAATTTCTGCATATTTAGAGAAAGAGTTAAATAGAAATTTCTCAACTTTTAGAGATTGCTTTTGGAAAAATCAATTTAAGATGTGATAAAGTTACCAATATTATTATTAAGGAATTATAAGGAATACATATATGTTTCTAAATATATGGTTTTAGTTATGTGACTTTATATTTACCTTTACTTTGCGTTATGTGCAATGTCTTTTTCCTTGTTTTTATCAATCGCTAGTCATTTTTATACAACGGAAATTATTCCAGGAATTTCTATATGTTTATATTTGTAAGTTATATTATAACACTAAATGTATTAAATTCACAATGTATTTTCTTTCCTAATAATTTATTATATACAAAATAAATTAAGGTTATTTTTTTCGTTGAATTTTTATATTTGTGCTCTGTTTTCGATGTGGCAATCGTTTTTGAAAATCGAAATTATTCGTGTTTTTCTAAAATGTTTTAAATATTTAAAGTTTTTCTTATTGTATTAAAACAAACATCATAAAGATTAGATTAAATAACATTAAAACAAGGTTTGGAAATTTGAAATGACGAACTCAATACCTTATTTTTTAAGTTACAGCAGAAATTCGTTTATCCGGTAATCATTCATTCCTTAAAATTAGCCAATAATCTGGAATTGTATGATGATAATCTGGGATGCTCGTTTTACATAAATCGGAATTTGTTAGGATACGCACTAGTTTCCGGGCGGAAATATAACATGTCTGGATAGTGTCTTACTTTCTCGGCTGTTATAACATAACACGATTGTCTATTCATACTTTTTAATTAAAATAAAACACTACGCACTGAAATTAGAAATTATTCAACTGTTCAACTACTTTGTTTAAGTCCAACTTTACTGGTTGGGATACAATTCGAAACTGACTTTTTATATACAACAAAACATTTCTAGATTCCACTTTTTAACAGTTTAGTTTGGTTTAATGTGATAAGGCAACAAAACATATGGGTGATCTGCCAATGGGGATGCCTTTTGGGAGGACTTTCTATGGTAAATTGGTTCGAATTTACGTATTACATACGTGAAACCCGAAAAATTCCACATGGCCAGCGTTAGTCAGACCATCAACTTCCAGTGTTCAGTGATTTATCCATTTGGCCTTACTCTTTGAACTTTCTGTCCTTTCTCCCCGCTAAAAATCCCGTTAAAAATCTTTTCCATAGTCAAACCCCATTCACAAAGCTTATTTATTCTTATGCACACACAGATGAACTTTTATTCAACAGGGCTTTGCAGTCGGTGCCGGAACTAGTTGGAATTTCCACTTTTTATTAGAGTCCGAGCTCGAGCAATATATTCTTTAAATAATTCTTGACTCCAGCTCCAGATTTATTTTTCCTTTTTAATACGTTTAGGTATTAAGCTCATAACTTTAATAGAATTGCTTAATGAAATTAGCACCTTGTAAATATTTAAAAAATTTTGTAAATCTAACTAAAAATTCTCTAACATCTTATATTTCTGACATACTAGTAGAGATATACTATTGACATAACCTATTTATTTTTTCAATTAAACAATTGATTAAACAAAATTCATTTACATCAATTAAATCAATAACGTGTACTATATTTTAGTATTCTTTAAATAATTAAAATGTTACAACATTAATTTTATTTATGATATGTTAAGCACTGTCATAGCTTTTCTAATAAATACAATCTAAGAGTTACAATAAATTAGATTCAATTATAAAGAATTTATTATTATTGGAATTAATTTACATTAAGGATCTTTATAAATAATTATAATAATGCACAAAATTATTTATATTCGTATTTTTGTTGTATTTTAATATACTTATTATTTCCAAACGAAACTATAAATATCAATTATATTTCTATTTATGCGTTTAATTTCATAATTAACTGATAAATATGTGAACTAGGAAACGATACGAGATGAAATTGAGAATACACATCATATAGTGTTTACATGATTATATTCTCTTTAATTTTTAGAAAAGTTAATTTAAATAAATGTCTCGTATGTTTTTATATTTCTTGATATCTTAAGAATGCAAATTTTAATGAAATTTTATTATTTATATTTATCTTCATTTTACTGCATTTACGGACACCTCGAAAAGTCGAGAAATTCAAAAACTTACGGGTAATTTCTGTATGTATGGATGTAGTGTGTATGTGCGTGTGTCATGATTTTGTTCATCCTGTTTAAAGCTTAATAACTGGTGTGCCTTTTGTCGAAATTTTCTGAAATTTTGCAGAGAGGTTTGTTCATTAGGAAGATTGATGATGTTAAATTTTGGTGATTAAAGGTCGAGGGGATAGAGAGATAATAGGGACGTGTGTATCTCTGGTAGGATCGGATTTAATGACAAATTTACGCGTTATTAGCATTTCATAATTTTTTATAAAACTCATTCCTACCCTCAAAATTAAGCTTTTTGCCAATTTATAACAGTTAAAAATAAAAAAAAAATTAATAAAATATGATAACAGATGGCACCACGAAATTTTAAATGTGGCCAGGAAAGTTGAGCAACTCGTTGCTGGTTTTTTTCTTTTATCCATAAAAATTTGTTAAATTAATAGTTATGCAGTTGCGTTTTTTTAATGCTTTCTGTAACTAATTTTCAGTGAAGTCGGGTATTTCGCTTGTAATCCTAATTTTAGAAAGTTCATTTTCGTTATTCTGTAGTTTTACAAGTGATAATTATCAACAATATTAAATTTATTTGACACAATTATTAATTTTATTCAACTTTCTAAGCATAGATTGTTTTGTAAACAGGGAACTAAACAGGTTTTCATCAATGAATTATTTAGGATTCTATAACAAAGGGTACAGTATACAATTGTGTACTGTACCATTGTATACAATCGTACAGCATTTGTACAGCATATAATTGTATACTGTATGGGAAAGTTGTGCGCGTTTTAAAATTTATCAATTCACTGGAGAATAATTATCCTATTTCATTAAGTAAATCTTGTAAAGAAATTTCAGATAAGTGTCATTTGAGTTACTACAACGACGGTCAATATTTTTATTCTATTAGAAGCATAAAATAGTAAACAATCGAAATTTTCATACTGCCACGTGAGCATAAGGCCTAAGCCCTAAGGTATCTGAAAACAATACTATAAAATGTAATGACGATCAAGAAAAATATTACTATTCTTAACTATAGATACGGAATTTGTGGTAATTAGTGCTGTATATAGCAAAGATAAATTGCACACGATTTACCTCAATTCTTTATATTGAGAAGAAAAAAACTTGATTGGATCTGAAATTTTTGCTCTTCTTATAATATAATCGAGATGGGTTGATGATAATAATAATAATAGAGAGGTTGCAGCCGAAGTTTTCTTCTCTCAAACGTGAACGCCGAACGTCGAACGCCGCTATCTTGTAAGCGGAGCTCGACGTTTGGCGTTCACGTTTGAGAGATGAAAGCTTCGGCCGCAACCTCGCTAATAAGCGCAGAGACCAAACGGTTAGGAGTTATAAGTTGAAATTTGTTACAAGTTAAGGTACGTCATGAGAACATACAGTACACTAAAAAGGAATTTCTCGAAATTTTCCCCGCGGGAGAGATGGACAGCATTAAGGCTTACCGTAAAGAACTCGGCTTCTATTATACTATTTTTGATGCGTTTTTTTTATTTTTAACTGTGTTTTAGTAGGGTACCACATTTAGTAGGGTATAGGGTACCACGTGGGGATGAAAAAATGTATTCCTTAACAATGGAAGCGTTAACAATGGAAGTGTTAAGAGAAAACGACGTGCAACATTTACAGGCGCAGATGCGGTTTTTTGCAACAGACTACGGTGTTGCCCGGGCAAAAAATAACAACATCAAAGATTACAAATTAATCTAATACGAGTACTTTTAACTCTTCTATTATATTACATTATAGTATTTCATTTATATAACTGCAAACATTATCTTACGTAAGAGTTTATCACATTAAGCGACCAATCTAACATTTTAAAAATTCATTATTCCTCTACTGTACACAATTTAAAGAATTTTTAAAATGTTAGATTGGTCACTTAGTGTAGCATACGTAAGATAATGTTTGTAGTTATATAAATCAAATACTATAATATAACAAATGTTAAAACGAAAACCATATAAAGAGTTTGGTTATTTCAGCCTACCATTATCAGGTTTATCGCGATACTCAGGTATATTTTGTGAGATATAGCTTTGTATAATAATAGTATTACACCCTGTATAGTGTTCATGTTGTTTTTTTTTAAGCTTATAATAATAATAAGAGAGTAACGAGTATATAAATGTATAAAATACGAATAAATCTATTAAAGTTTTAACATTTTCAAGTGACCTTTAATGAAAATTAAAGATCATGAAAGGAATAAGGAATATTTTTTATTTTATTTTATATACATATAATGACTTTAAATAAAGGTATTTTTGTATTTTAATAGATTAATATTTATTTATTTCGTGGTTTATCAGGTCTATTAAGTAGAGTATATGATGTAGTTTTTACTATTATTATATACTATTTATTATATTAAAAAACTAGTAAATAACAAAAATTTATACAATTTATAAATTTACATATAATTTCTGATATATAAGGGTTATAATGACTAGAAAATTATTTATATTACTATAGAAAAAAATATTTTTGAAATGAATAATAAACGAAAAATAAAATAATGATTAAAAGCAATTATTTATTGTGGTATCGTCACAACACCAGCCTGCAATTTTTAATCATAATTTTAATTTATTTAATTTAATGGAATGAAACATAGGCCTATAATAATAGAACAGAATAGGAAAAAATTAAAACAAATTACCTATTTATTTTAAAGTGTAAATTATACGTCCAGCAATACAATCTATATACAAAAATTTAAGAGTATATCAATAATAGGTAAATTTGTTGCTATATATAGAACAGTTTAATGTTGATCTATCATGATTAGGAATTTATTCGTGATGAATATGCGTAATGTTGTTATAAATATAATGCTTCCGTCCAACTAACTATTAACAATTACATTCCTTACATTACTAAATTACATTCATTTTAGCATTTGTGATTATAATGCACTGTACTGCACATGTCCACACAAAAGTATTTTATTTAGAGTTTTTACGTAAATTTATATCATGCACTTGCATTTCGGTAAATAAAGCAGAATATAATTTATTAATATAATGCAAATTGAATATTTATTAATCCAGTC